TATACTATCTAACTAGAGGCTACATTGTCGTGATGTAACACGATTAATAGGTGAAAGAGTGTGGAGATTATTATAATTTAAGAGATCTTAGTTCAAATTATTAGAAAAAATTATCTTAGAAATATAGTTAATAGCCAAAGGGGTAGAAAAATTAAAAGGTATCAATGTTGCCTTTTAGAAAGGTGACTTCTACTTACTTTGTAGTATCATAAGTAAGGCAAATCAAAGTAGATTGGGAAAATAAATGATATAGGAATCTTTAGAAGAAAGCTAAGAGTAAATTCTAGAAAAAATTTACTTAGAAAAACTAGATATTGATACCTGGAGAGGGCCGGTTATGAACCAGGGTTGAAATCAGACCCTAAGGCACAAAACCGAGTCTCGACGACGACTCCGGGACTCTTTGGCAGATTGGAGAGTGGGGTTGGAGAGAAGGTTGGATAGGATTTCTCTGGGCATTGATTTTGGGTGATTTGGAGTTGATATGAATTTGTAAGAGCTTTGCAAAGTTGAGTTTTTTTTTCGGATGACTTGGGTTTTATGAAATAAAATAGGGTTTATGTTTTGAGTGATTTGAAGAGTTTTGTTCAGACCTATGGGTGAATTTTTTTGGGTTTATGGTTATAGTTGTGTTAAATACATGTTGTGAATTTGAGCTTGATCTAATGGTTGAACTGAGAAATATTGAGGTTTAAGTGAGTCAAGGTCTCAGAAAGTAGAATTCTAGATCTAGTGAGGATTTTTAAGATTTCATGCAATCTATTTGTTGGATTGGAGTAAAACTTGTGTGAGAGGATATTAGACTTATTTTTCTATTTCCATGAGAAATTTGAAACCAATCGAATGGCGCAAAGAAGAGAAATTGGCTCTAGAATGTTGGCAACAAGATTGGAGAAGGAGGCCAACTAACACCCAAACACATTTTTGAGGTTTTCGTAAATTTGGTAACTCCGATCTTTTTCAAAATGTTTTATCTTGTTTTGAACTTGATTTTTAAGAAATGCAAAAATTTTGAATTGAGATCAACGGTTTATTCATTAGATATTGAGGTTTAAATCTGTCATAGGAATTACTAGGATTTGGATTAGGATTTGGCTAGGGTTCGGTTTAGGATTTGGATTAGGGTTTGGATTAGGATTTAGGGTTTGATTAGGGTTTGGCTAGGGTTTGGTTTAGGGTTTGGATTAGGGTTTGGATTAGGATTTAACTTAGGGTTTAGGAATTATTAGGGTTTAAAATTTAAATAGGTTTGGTCTAAAGTTGAGTGAAATTCAATAGGATTTTAACTAGAATTAAATTAAGGTTGAATTGACATATATTTGAGTAAAATTTGTGATCATTCTAATATTTCTTTAAGAATTTTATTGTTTGTTTGAAATTTCTTTGAGTTGTTTTGAATTTGATTATGTTTTTTTACCATTATTATAGTCTAATTAGAGCATTGTTAGTATTCTATTTAGGATTTTGTTATCGCAATTTCTATTCTTCCTTCTACAACCAAGTGCCCGGAGCATTCTCAAGCAAGACTTCACACATTACGACAATGTGGCGATGTTCTATAGGACCTCCAATATGTGTTGACTTTGTAGGACACATGCTTTGACTTACAAGGCAGGTTTTTTTTACGTGTAGGCCACATAGTTAGCTTGATCTTCAAGATAACAACATGTGTGGCACATGGCCAACTTGTTGACCACGTTTCTAATCCAAAAAGTCAATTAAAGACACCTATGAAGTCAAAGCAGCGTCTATGAAGCTTCTAGAAAGCTTTCATATCAAATACTATAGAATTAACTTACTTTTATTTAGTTTTACATACTTGCACATATTTGTATATCTAATTATGAGTATGTGCGTGACACCTTGTAATAATTATTTGTGTTGCTTGTGCAATTCGTTGATTCCTTTCTCACTTCCAAATTCTTTTCTTTTATTGTTTGCATTTTAGATTTGAAATCCTTTGGCTTCCAAATTTTAGTTTGTTGTTGTTGAAGAGCTTGTTCATAATACACTATAGCTTGTTTAGCATCCAAATCTTGGTGATGAGTGCATGCAATGCAATCTATGAGGAATGCTAAGATTCATAGATTTGTATTGGAGGCTGAAATCTAACACCATTACAACTTGTCTCTCATTGTCTTATCATATCCTACAGCAAAATTGTACATTGATTCCTTTGCTAACAAGTATAGTAGTATGGTAAGGAACTTTTGGATAGTTTTGATAAGAGACTAAATAAGTTGTGGCATGGAAGAAGGATCAACACAAATATCTATCAATCAAGTCAACCATCCATCCATCATGCCCACATGGATGTGAATAATCATGCATCTATGCAAAGACAAAACTACAATTATAACAATAACAATAATAATAGCAATATAAAGTACCTATGCTCTATTCTACATCCTTATATGGTGATGGAGGCATTTGGTCTTGCTTCAGGCCTAGAACTTTGCAAATTGGAATGTAGGCAGTGCAAGGATGAGTGGAATATACAAATAGACAAAAATATAATGGGTTGAAAAAGGAGCCCCTCTATGTGCTTTAAAGGGTGGGGGGGATTTATATAGATTTTGTAAGAGGCTGTGTAGAAGTGGATGGCAACAACAAAGATGGGCCTTTTTTTGAGAAGGACAAGCTAGGCTTGGATGTAACTTATACTTTTAGAAGAGATGTTGCTCAATTTGAAATGGATGTAGATATTTTAGAAATAGATTCTTTTGATGAGCTACGCTACAAGTTCTTTCAATCCAATAAGAGTGTGATGGTAGTATATTGTAAGATAGTAGTCTTGTAGAGGGGTGCCATGGTGAGAGGGAAGGAGGATTAGAAAATAAGAAATAAAAGCAAAAATAAGAGCAAGAATAGAAGTAGGAGATATAAAAGAGATGTGGAGAAGTGACGCAAATTTGAACCATTGGATTTGAGGGGAGGTGATTGGGGTAGAAATAAATTATTGATATATAAAAGAGAGTGGATGAAAATACATACATTGATATGATCAAGCACAATTAAAAGGCTGACTTGTCCCTTGGGCTTTTTAACTTCCAAAAGGGAAACGAAGTTGCCTCATGAATCCTACTATTTTTTATTTTGATTTCAATTTTTGTTGTATATTTGTTCATTTCTTTGCTAGATTTTATTTGTATATAAGTTTGTAGATTGCTTTGCCTTGCAATGATTGTTTTTGTCTCTTGAGCATTCTTTGCTTTCTTTTTTACCTCTAAATTCTTTTCTTTCTTTTTTTTGCATTTTGGATCTAGGATCCTACAGCTTCCAAATTATGATTAATTTGTAATAGATGAGGAGCTTGTCGATTACACAATATGGCCTATATGGCACTCGAGTCTTCATGATGAATGCATGCAATGCAATCTAGGAAAGATGCAAGGACCCAGGAATTTGTATTGGGACTGAAAACTACCACTGCCAAAGCCCCTCTACTATTGTGTTGTCATGCCCCATAACAACCCTATATACTAACCCTCTTTGCTACCAAACATAGTAGTATGATAAGGGGCTTCTAAGTGGAGGTTTTGATAAAGAACTAAATATGTTGTAGTATAAAAAAAGAACCAATACAAACATCCACCAATCAAGTCAACCATCCATCTATCATGCATACATGGATATAAACAATTAGGCATCCAAGCAAAGATAAGATCACAATTACAACAATAGCAATAGTAATAGCAATGTGAAGTAGCAATGCCCCACACCCTACACTCTTGCATGGTGATGGAGGCACCTAATCCTGCTTTAGGCCTAGGGCTTTACAAATTAGGATACAAGCAATATGAAAGTAAGTGGGATAAGCCAATGGACAATAAACAGCATGATAGGTTGAAAAAGAGGCCCATTCATACGCTCCAAGAAATGAAAGGGATTTGAATAGATTCTATGAAAGGTTATATGGAGGTGGGTGGCAATAGCAAAGATGGGCCTTCTTTTGGATGGGAAGAACTAGGCTTGGACACAACTTGCATTGTTGTGGCCCAATTTGGAATAGGTGTGGAGATTTTGGAAATAGGTTCCTTGAATGGGTTGTGCTTTAAGTTCTTCCAACCCAACAAGAGTGTGGTGGTGGTACATTATAAGACAATGGTGGTGCAAAAGGGTGCAACTGCATGGTGGATTACTTGACTCAAATCCTTCAACTATGATTGCAATATCTACCTTTGTGATCTCTTAATAACATAGAATTAGTTTTGTTTATACAGTTGATCGTCAAAAGTCACAAAAATCTCATTACGTAGCAATGTTATGGAGTGTTAAAAATAAGTTATGAAGAACTTATTTTTAAGTACAAAGTTGGCAAAGAATATTTGTATTGTAAGCCATACTAACATTTACTTAGTTGATAGGTGGAATACTTAACTGTTAAATATCTTCTAGACAAACACTGCAAGAAAAATAGTTCCTTGTTATCAAGTATCAAAAAATTTACTTCCTGATGTTGAAATTAGGAATCTGATTCCTAAGAACAAAAGCAATATAAATATTCAATCCTTATAACTTCGTCTCCACATCGTGGTTACAGCCCATGGTTGGCTCATTGGTTATATCACATTGCATTGTGGAATAGCCACTGTGCAAGGCTATTGTGCACACGACATCAAGTCATCTTATGCACACTTAATGAGCAATGTGCAACCCAAAAGAACATAAGAACGCCCTACTGACGGGCTGAGGTTTAGGGGTTTTCCGCTTTCAGCTGCAGTTTCTTGCCAAAAGCCAGTAGCCACTTAAGAGAATGGTAACTTAACTATCTTGCCATTTCTTCATGGATAGGAATCTCTTGAATCTGTTCTCGGCGGGGGTGAGACCCCTAAGATGATCGTGCAGTTTGCGCCTCGATCTTGGACGAAATATGGTGATAAAATACCAAGCAAGGGTGTATTGCCGTGGCAAGTTCCTGCACAGGAGATTCAAAACCAAGAGCTCTTGCCCATAGGAAATTACGAAGAAAGGGTCTCGTAGAAGATTGCCAGCCAAAAGAGAAAGCAGAAAGATCCATTTATTTAAGGACCAGTGCCCATGGCACCCAGGTAAGCATCTGAGCCGCTCGAGTATACAACTTACACTACACATCAGCAGCTTTGAGCAGTGCCTTAACAGCTTGGTGAGAGACCAATAGAATTTGAGGGTTTTCACCGATCATCTAATTTGAAGGATACAACAGAAGCTCCCAATCACTGCCTGGATGGAGAAAACAGCTCGTGGGAACAGACTCATGGGCTCAGTATCATGTCCATCTTTAAGCCAAATTCGGCCCCTAGACTATAAAATAATGGGAAGGAACAGGTCCCGGAAGAATATATTAACAGTAGAGACTTGTATCTTCGATCTGGAGAACATTTTTCACTCCTGCATCATACACATCAAACCCCCAAACATACATACTATCAATGGCTCCATCCTCCAACCTGAAAACTTCGGACGGAACAGACATGGCGCTGTGCTCGCCTTGGTGGCTCCACTGAATCCCTACCCGACATGTGAAAGCAGCAATTCCGTCTGGCAGTTGTGTACCATCGCAAATGAGCGACACGTCACCTGCGAGTCGGAGTGCGGCCGGCGAGTCTTCGTGATCCTCGCTGCTGCTACCTGTGGATGCTAACCAGAAAAGTTTGGGTTGCCCCACCAGCCTCTTGTACGCAGTATTCACCCACTTGACACGAAATCTAGAATCTGTGACAACAGACGGCTTGTCCGCTTTGTCCAGTCGTTCCTGAACATCCTGAAATGGCTCCGTCAGGGGGACAGAGTGCCGATCAAGCGAGACAATAGTTTGCACGGTGATGGTCGATCCAACAGCTCTCACGGGTTGTGGAGCGATCACGTTGGCTAGTCCCTCAGAATTATTGGATGGTGCGTGATTACCGCCTTCAGGTATAATGAACTTCTTCAAAAACCCCCATAGTACTGCCTTGCACTTGGACGCTGGAAACGGCGGCTGGAATGTGAAAACTGCTAACTGGGTGCGAATTCCCAATGGGTCAATATGTGGTCCAATTGCCTGGGGTAACCAAAGGAAGAATTGGAACACGAGATTGTGTAAAGAGAGCACGGTGCACTAAAGTCCTTATTCTGTTGCTAGTAGCTACTTTAAACGTCGACCTGAATTTCTAGAGTAGGGCAAGCATATAAATAAACCAAAACAAGCCAGGAAGAGAAATACAACACTTAATGAACGATTGGAGATCAACATACCTGCATTCGGCTGCTGCTTGTCCTTTCGTTGGACAATCTCTTGAACGCCGAATTCACCCACAAGACCGCGCCGTCTTTATCAGTGAGCATCACCGCCTCGGAAGATCCACCGTGCCGCTGTTCTAAGTAATGTGAATCCACGACACGCATTCCGCCGTCTACTTGGGATGGTTTAGCCGCCCGGTCCAAAAACATGCGAGCTGCCGGAGGGGCGAGGCTATCCGGAGGGGTCATCCCTAGGCTCGTGTTCGTGTCTTCCTCAGACCACCGTGCTTTGCTCGACATGGTCAAACTAGTGTTCAGATCACTGCTCGAGGTGACTTCCTTCCCGGAAGTCCATCGCACATCAGAACGTAGGAGAGAGAGGGTCGAGCTAGAGGACGTGGAGCGCGTGTTCATGTGAGAAGGAGTATCAGGAAGAAGGGATAGGGTTACAATATTCGCTTTCTGGCTTTCAGGGGCGTCCTCCGCTGAGCAGACCTCGCTGTCTGCACCGAAGCTGGTGGAATGGGATAGACAACCAAACAAGGGCTCCTTTCGCACACAAATATTGGAATGCTCCACGGAGTACAGGGATGTTGAGTTGCCCGTTCCATATCCTTCACGAGCGTCTGCAGCTCGCCCCATGAATCCCAAATCCTTCTCAAGTGGGACAGCATGAGAAGTGCCAACATTGAAGCTCAAGCCATCCTTACTGCACCTCAGGGTGGTGTTATTAAGATTGTTGAGGTTGATTGGTTGCTCGTAGTACGAGTCACAAGGTGGAGATTTCGCTGACAGAGACAACGATACCGAAACTCCACTCTGTGTATGATCGAAGCTATCTTTGAAACGCTGCAATCCTCCGGGACCAAATACTGGCGCGACTCGATCACTGAAAATCGGCGTGAGATTGAAGCTCGGTGGCTGAAATTCCAAGTTTCCTTCCGCTCCTCCACTCTTCCCAGGGAATGATCCCGAGCTCATCCCGTTGTGCCGAGTTTTCTTTGCAGTGCGAGGGGACTTCGACGCATCTGGTGGGCGCTTACTCCTCCGCTTGCTAGCCGATTTGTTTTTATCAGTCGACAGGGAGGACAGCGAATGAGAGTCAGTGTGATCGGTACCCTCAGACTTGGGCGTAGGTTTTGGAGCTATGGGCCGGTATCTTGACATTATGTGGTCTGTCTTTGAGGGAAACATGGGGATACCTGTTTGCATTACCAGCATACACCCTCCTTGATCTGCCGGTATCAGTTCTTACGTCTCATCGCTTTATGATAACATCCACGCAACCGTCTCTATTCATCACGACATATGATGCAGGAGCGAACTTCGTTTGTTAACATCTGAGCAGCACCCAATGTTGAAGTATCGACGGATTTACTACGTAATCATCGTGCAGAAAGCTAAAGCGGTGATCACTTGGTAAACTACTCAGTCCCCTATGCCTACACTCGGGCAATTCCTCCAGCACACATGTACCCTACCTCTGAGGTGCGCTCATAAGCACACCCCGATTGAGGCTCCCCACAGAGTGCGCCTTAAAACAGCCACCTACAACAACCCGCGCCGCAGCCTCCAGACTTCCCACCACAGCACCCGGTGCACGCCCAAAACCGTCATAAAACCGCAACCCCACCCACTGCGTCGCCCGGAGCGCCCACCTCCCGCCTCCTGCCTCCCTCACCAGCACTACCCCCCTCCACGACACTGACCACACCCGTCTACACCATTCGTCCATAAAAAGCCACAAGTGTCTAACACTCTCGAACTCCCAAAACTGACTCACAACCCAGACAACGCCAACGGGCTCACGGAGAGTCTCCTGTGCGAACCGGCTCGGCGGCAGCGAACAGAATATGAGCAGGTGGCGGCATATGAATATGCCGAACACTCGCCACCACTCTCTATACTGGTAACTCTATGAAACCCTCACGAGCCCGAGAACTCACAAAACTCCATCTCTCTCGCAGCTCCACGAGGGCGCGTGAGAAAACAGGACAAGATGACGAGAGCGGACACTGCAGCGGACACTGGGAGCCAAACCTACACTATCCAAAACACACACCAGCTTCACCATCGCCATGTAAACCCCAACATACGCTTTGTTTCTCTTACTAACTCGTCAGCAAAAATGCTCAAGCGTATATGTCATACGTATTCGACCCGTATGTGGGGAGTATGGAGGCGGGGCGAAAGGAGATCTCGTGGGCGTACGTGGCCCAATTGCGGCTGTGAAGCGGAATTGGAGACTGGCAAAAGGCTGGAATTGATTTGGTGGCTGTGCTAGTTGGCTGCCGTGGTGTTCCCACGTTGCCTCTGCGCGGCCTTTGATGCTTCTCAGACTCTTCCCTATTCTAAAGCTTACTTTCGATCCCTTCAGGTCCTTTCGACCACCCTGTCTGTTCTCTCTCTCTCCCTCTCCCTCTCTGCGCCCGGTCTAGTGCCTACCTACTGTGCTTCCACTATGTGTTGCAGGGCCATCCCATGGTCATCATACAGCACGCTACAGGTAATCGTGTGAGGGAGTATGGAAGATTAAGGTTTTTGAACTCCAGGTGGGCATTTGAGATCGTTCGGCGGTGTCAGTGGAGCGAGAGGCGAGGGTTGGATCGCAGGCGTTGGTGTAATCTTGGCCCTTCGAGGGGAAGAAGTACTGTTGGGTGGCGTTCATCCATTGCGTTGTTTAGTTTAAACACTAGTTTATGGTTTCGGGTGGAGCTATTTTTGGATTTGGTTCGGAATCTGGATGAAGTGGAAGGAGCTTTGCCTCCGGACCGCTGTTTTTTTTAGCCTGATGATTGAAAGTTGGATTAGTGAACGAGACGTGTAATCATTGCAAAAATGAATAGTGGTTTCGGCAAGGAATGTGAATTTCGGGAATGGGGTGTGCGGACTTAGGTTTTGGTTCAGCTTGGAATTGGGCAGTGAGGCCCTTAACTTGGGTCATGGATCGATTTGAAGAGTTGGGGTTGTGAGCTTCACATTACCAGGAGGTCGGAAATTGGGATTCGTCATTCGATAAATCGGGAGTGCAGTTTGTTTTGATTGTTTCGTGGGTCCTCAAGTTGTCACTGTCTAATTGCGCGGATTTTTCGTTAATGCAGGTATGGATTGCGTCATTAATCAACCTATACCTGTGAGGCTCATTTCTTTGCATGGAGGTTTGACGCATTCTGTCTGAAGATTTCTTCAAGGAGGATTTGACGCATTCTTTTCGTGGGTCCCCCTCGTATCAAGCTTTCGGAACCATTTTAAGATTGATTGCAAAAACTGGACAAGCAGAGGTGGAATTGTGTGTTATTTCGTGTTGGAATCCTCCTCTCTACTTTAGGTGGCATCGTTGCAGAGTAATTGTAGCTCATCAGGCCCCTGCAGTCCGTCAATCCCCCTAGCTACCTGAGAAGTTCGTGTTGTCGAGAAGTTTTCTCCTCTGCTTAATGCGAAAATTTTGTACTTGAGTTACTGCAAGAAATATTGCGGCATTGAGTGGTTAGGGAAGTGGACTCAAAAGTATGAAACTAGCCATGCATGGATAATGAGCACCAATTCTTCCTGAATTATTTGCGCAGTACCTCAAGTAGGAGCCATTAGAAGTGTCGGGTCACATTGTGTTTTAATCTTAGGGTTTCTCATCTCGACCTTGGCAACATTTCTTCCAGGTACGAGATTATTCGCAGCTGAGCATGTTTCTTAGTATCGGTAACGTGTGAGCTGGGGCAATCATGGAGAACGCAAGCGGCAATGCGGCGCTAATGCGCCGAATCGTGCAGCTGGAGAAAGGTGCGCCGTAATACTACATATTCTTGGCAGAGGTTTGTTATGAACGGCTTATGACTGGATAGTTGTATGAATTTCAGTTTTCAGTTGAACTGCTGACGTCCTGTCCTGTAAGCTCAAAGCTTTGGTAATTGTGTCACACTCCTGAGAAAGTTTATGCTAGTGAACAGTTTTGGAAGATCTTGGGATTAAGGTCGAGGTGCTGACAATGAAAATGTTGGTCATATTTAGGGTTGTCCTGATTAGGTTTACTATTACCATTACCATACATTGTGACGAGTTCCGACACGGCGGTTGGAGTTTTATATTATGAATGCTGGAGAGTAATATAATCGTGGCCTGTCAACCTCAGAGAGGGATGAATTGCAGAAGGACATAGAGACTATATGCTTGCAGCAGTCGGGAGTGGCTGGCAGCATAGATGTTAACACCCGCATGCAGGCTCGCAGGTTTGTCCACGACGGGATCGTTATCCTTTAGTTCGATCAGACATTGAAAGCATTATTTATTTGCCTAATGAATCAATTTGTAGGATACATTGTTGAACTTAGTCATGGTGCTTTGATGTAAGTGACAGAAAGTTCCAGTTGCTTAAAACAAGATTTTTAGTATCTAAGTGTAAGCTTTGGAGTCTGATTGTCCAACTATCGCAATTCCGCTACATGCTATGAGGGCTGTTTTTTTGAGTCTCCTCCATTATCAGTGTTAATTACCGCTCTTTGTCTTAGTGTTTTGAAAGAATGAATTTTCCTAAAAGAAATCTAGATTAAGTAATGTTTTGTAGTTATGAGCTTGTTTTAAGAGATTAGAATGAGCACCCTACCGCAGGGCTGCTAATTTAGAGCAGGAATTGGAAACATATAAAGAGAAGACATCTCTTCTTACGCGTGAAAACCATGGCCTGCAACAAGAGCTATCAGAAGCCTACCGCTTAAAGGTGAACCTGATTGCCTAATCTGGTTTTTGCTATATGGGGTTATGTATTGTGTACGAGATCATCAACTTTTAACTGGTTCATATATGTGTAGATTGATCATTCAACACTTGATTTAAGCAGTACTATCTTATTATAGGTACGGCTGCCTATGATTTGCAACGTGAGTTTGACTGTGACTTTCCTCAATATCTTATGCTACAGACTCAGATTACCGAAGCCTTCAAGAGAGCTGTTGAGAAGGTTTTTTTCAACTCTAACTTCTCTCTCTTATGAGTTCAGTTTAAATAAAGTAGGCTCTAATATCATTTTCTTCATAGCGTGGTAGTGATTCAATGAATGAAGCAATATTATGAAAAAAAAGCAAATATTACAGAATAAAAATTAAAAGAACAACCTATATGCTGTATGTGTATTAACGTCAAGGCTTTCTTCCAGAATAATCAAGTTGAGAAAGACGTGAAATTTTACCAAAGCAAGGTAGCCACTGCTTTTGCTGAAAGGGATAAAGCACTTGTCGAGGTGAGAACATGCATAATCCCCGGCTCGCATCCACTGGGATACTGTTTAGTATGCATTCTCAGCACTTTTGCGTGAGATTGAGAGACGTGTCTTAATTTGACCTTGAAAAGATCTTGGGGACAGGTCGAAAGAGTTAAGGAGGTTGAGAAGGAAATGATTGCAGAAGTCCAACAACTCAACAGTCGGTAAGAGACGCGACCTTATTCCAGCTCTTGTCGAAACGAAATACTTCTATTAGCAAGTATTATATGCTTCAGATTTTGTGTACTTGGGTCTTGATGGGAGGGATGCATGTATGTTGAGAACTAGTGTGGATTTGGAATCTTGTATGAATGGCATACCTAAAGGTTCGTGAGTTCGGATCAATACATATGGTCTTCATGTGCGCATCTACTGTTCTACATTTAATCATCTGGGTTCCTATAAATGGACATGTATCTCTGTTTTTTCCAAAATTGATGGATACAACATGGTCTGCATATTCAATTGTTTAAAGAGATAGTAAGCTGGTGTTACAGAGCAGAGGAAGCAGAGAAACAATTGAAGGAAGAAGAGGAGCAGAAACTGAAGCTGCAACATGACTATGAAGTCAGAACAGAACAGCTTGACATATTACACAAGGTCAGCATATTCTTACCACTATGTGGGAGCAGTGAGCTATTTGCCATTCGCTGTCTTTTCCTGAGACTAGTTACCCATCTTTTCGGATTATAGCCTGTAAGAGATTGCAGTTCGCACTAAGATCTTCGAGTTTGACAATTTAGTGCGGCATAACAGGTTGTAGACAAATTTTGGGAATTGCGAGGGAATGTGCCCGTGGCTCTAGATGACGGCCAACCTCAAGATCTGCAACCTTTGGATAAAGCCCAAGCCTTAATCTTGGAATCAGATGTACAATGGACTTATGGGGGATCCATTCAGGCAGCTGTCGAGGCACTTCAACAAGAATTGAAAGTTGCTCGAACCCTTGCAGAGGAAAATGACATTCTTGCCAAGAAAGAGCAAGCACGAACTAACGAGCTGGATGCTCAATTGGCACTACTTCAACAGGAAGTGAAAGCTGCTCAAGCTTTTGCAGAGGAAAGAGGCCTACTAGCAAAGGAAGAACAATCACGAGCCAACGACCTGGATGAGCAGCTGGTAGTATCCGGTTCTGATCTTATTACAATAGGTTCAATAGCATGTAGCAGTTGAAATTTTGGGGAGTTTTCAATGTATGATCAAGATAGTCTCTGAAGGTGAAGGACGTAATGCTAAGTTCTTGCTTATTACTCAAAGTGTTGAAGATATTAGAGACTACCTTCTAGTGTGTGATTGCTTGCTTGTGGGATGCTTGTTCAGGACGATGGTTTCTTTATTGTTTTGAAATAATCTTTGCCTCTCAGATTTTCAATATCAGTATCAAGTGCCCCAGAGTCGATCGTATATTGTCATCGTCTTACATCTGTGACTGGGATCGGACTGAGTCTCTAACAGACGTGAGATTGTTGCAGAAAAAACTTAAGGAAGAGGTCGAGGCTACCGCACATTCTCTGTCTGAGGTAAAATAGTTTTGCTGTTAATCATTGGGAGCGGACTGTTACACTAGTGATAGGGCGTCTTTTTAATATAGAACAATCTAGATTCTCATTTAATAGGTGTGAACGTCACATCATGAGCATTTTATGGAGCATTTTTAGATTTGAGTTAATGTCATGTGTTAAAACCTACTGTGTCACTATGCAATCGTATGCCCAGGGAAGAGCTTTTAGTTTGGTTATCTCAAAACTACCTTGATGTGTCTGCTTTCCTCTGATATATTATGCTCAACAGCAAGCTGCAGGGGAAGCTTCAACCTATAAAGTGCATATGGTAAGCATTCGTCAGCAACCCTAATTGTTACGAAAACACTCAATTCATGTAGTATAAGTTCTGGCTGCTTTATATGAATTAAATAACTGTTTAAACACTTGCGTTAACACTGCTTTTAAGTGAAAATGTTGCGTAATATCCCAAGGGGAGCTTATACAAACTCTTGCAGGAAAAGTTGCAGAAGTTCATTGTCTCAAAGCTGTTTGAAATACAAAATGATCACGGAGACGTCCGGACTAGAGTGGACAGTCTACTCAAAGATGAGAAGCAATGGATAGACTCAATGGTTGACAAATTTGAAGCGTTGTTATTAGAGTTGAAAGCCAGGGACGTTCATCCCGAGATAGTGGATAAATATGAAGAACGTAGCCCTCCTCAGGAGGAAGCTCCTTTGCCAGCAGCTGAATCCGCGAAACCATATGTGTTTAAAGAAGCTCAGACTAGTAATGGTCTTGACGAGCTTGAAAGGACAACAGTATCCTTGCTAAACGAACATACACCGGAGTCAGTTGATAATGAAAATTTACCGAGTTTAGATGTTTCCTCAGTGGTTGCATCATCATTACAAGCTGAATCTGAAATAATAGCTGGAACTCATCCAGTTGTTGAAAATAATAATAGAATTCGTGAGGTATGTATTTCCAGCACAGTCATGTGTTTTATGTTGAAAGCTCATGTTTTTACTGATGAAGTGCAATTTCTTCAATCCAGAAGAATTGTCTCTTTTAGAGGATTCTGGTGAAATTTAACTCAATTTATGGTATTAGGAGGAACCTTGCTCTGCGGTGGTGTCGCTGAGCAGGAGTGTTACAGATATGATCCAGGAGGATCGGAAAGCGTTGGCCCAAGCATTGCATGAAAAGGTGGAATATCATTCCATCTAGTATAATCAATGATGTTCTAAGAAAAAAAAAGTCCATCGAATGCTCCAATGATTATTTACTTAGGTTTCCGTGTAATTCTGTTGAGTGCGCATTTGGTTCTATTTGAGATGAAAGAATATTGATTATCCAATTTTGAAGCAAGAGGATGCTTCTCTATTAAGTTATTAATGAGTATAAGAATTTTTACCGTTGTGCAGGTAGAAGCACTCTTACTCCTCTCGCAACAAGAGGAAAGATACTACATGGAATCTAAAACTATACAGGGTCTTGAGTTTCAGATCAAAGATTTAAATGAGAAAATTTCTCAGGTAATGTCTTCACCAAGTGGAAGATGCATGTGAGTTCATAATGACCGCTTGAATTATTTTTCTGTTGTATCATTTCGCTTCCTGCCTTTGTAAAGCTTGGTGGATTGATCTAATTCGTAACTAAGCGACAGTCTTGAACTTTCCCATGCCCAATGCAGGTGACGAGTGAAAAAGTTTCAGCTTTGATGGAAGTCGCACAGCTTCGACAAGATTGTCATCGTTTAGAAGAGCGTGAGAAGTATGTTATCTACCCTTAATCATTTTGAAAATCGAGAGTCCGTACCTAAACTAAATTAATACAATTATATTGGTAACAACTGTGTCATTTGCAAGTTATGAAATTGCAATATCTTACTCAACAAAATGTGTAAATTTGTACTAGTGTAGATTACATAGTATCATGTGTCATGAGACGCTTTATCAACTTATTTTCTTCTTTACATCCCTCATCCATGTTTTCCTTTTTTGCAGAGAGCTCATACGTAGGCTGCAACAGCACCGCAGCACCAGCGCGGGTGGGCGGTTGCTGCCAGCCAGTTGGTCGGAACCTAACGCCTCACAGACGAGACAAGAAAAGCCACATGCAGTGACTGAGAATCAACTCCAATCTTACAATATTGTACCAAAACCATCTCTCTCAACTAGTGGCTATTTAAAGAGTTGGTTACGAGGAATTGACATGTCTGGCCCGGGAGGTTTGAGAGCTCTATCCGAACCATCAAAACAAAGCAAAAGTCCAGCTACAGATGAACCTGCTGATTTAGCAAAGTAAGCAGTCGACAGTGTCTTTCTTCAACCCCACGATGCTCAGATGAACTGGTTACATCAATTACGTACCCGTGTGTGCCTATGACCAAACCTATGTGATTGTGCATTTGATTCAGGCTGAGAGTGGAGAATGCTGCACTTCAGGAACGCGTTGCTGGTGTGCAACGTCTCACTGCATCTGCTCACCGACTTCGGATGACACTGGTCAAAGTAATCATTCTAGTTCCTAAATCTGCCTACTTTGTCGAATGTCAGGTTGTGTATGGAGTAGCAGTCCTCTTTTGCGAAAAAAATATTGAACTCCCCGTATGTGTAGGTTTCAGCTGATTCGGAGACTGAGCCATCAGTAGCATCCTTAAACTCATTCCTGAAGGTTGTTGACGGGGTGAAAAGTGAGGCAAGCCATCTGCGTGTAGCTCTTGGCTGCTCACTGCCAGTGAGTGTAACCCCAGAGTCACCTCCTCAGCAATCTGACGCGGATGAGGGCATGTCCAAAACTAGCGTGGGAGAGGTGCATGCAGCAGTGGATGTTGCAACAGGTGCAGGAATCGAAATGGTGGAGCTTCTGCTTGTAGCTTGTGAGCTGCAGAAAGGGGCCATCCAAGGCCAGATTAACATTGTTGCATCGCAATGTGAAGTCCCTGATGGTGAATGAGAAAAGATTAGGAGCATTGCAGAGTAAAGCTTGAAGGTGTATGTACTGTACAGCTGTTGAAGGATCAAGGAGGTGAAAAAAATTAACTCAAAAAACACAAAAAGAGAAAAGAAAAGAGGAAAGAAGCACACATCATATTACATGGTGCTGTTAAAGCATGCATGTTGTTGCAAAGAAGAGATGAAGTGGTAGTTTCAACATTTCTCCAAGAGATGGGACTAGGCCATTCATGAGCTGGTGTATTTCAATCAGAGCATGAATTGTCCAGGAGTATTGGTTTGTTAAAGTTTTCGTGTGTTACAGACAGGCTTTTTTCATCTCGCAATTCGTATTGATTCAAGTTTTGTAATTTGTGTAAAGGGAAGGGCTTCTTTTGTGCAAAAGGGTTATTAATTCTACATAATTAAAGCCGCTCTGATGGCCCTTGTGTTCGTTATAACACCTTTTATTTTCTGAGAGGTTCTAATTATTCATTACCATTCTGTGTGGTGATGGGGTGATCTCAGAATTGGATGTAATATGCCAACCTTGGAATATAATCTCAACCATGTACTGTTGTGTGATATGGCATGTTACATGTTGGAACCGTTGAAGTCGGAAAGCAAACACCCAGATTCGGTTTCAACAGCAAACTGAGGTGGCTTCTGACCTCGAACAGAGTGCCTGAGATAGTGAAACATCATTCATGGTATTTATGCACAGTACTGCATGTGTGTTAACAACTGTTTTTAATGCTGAGCACACGAGTTAGTTGTTTCTGCCTATGATAATCAAATAAAATTACCAGTGAATTTGAAAGCCAGAAAATGAAAAGTTGTATGATGCCAAATTCAAATTGGATTGATTAAATTACTACCGATAATGTCAATTGTAAAATAGGCTGCCTTTTTCCTAAGTACTTGTGAAGTGATTTATGGACCATTTTTTTTTACTTATTATTACTTCTCACAATTTCTTTACATTTAGATGATAAGTAAAGAAAATCAGTGACATAATTTGCATAAAAGACATTTTTTGCTATATATATATATATATATATATGTTTTATATCACCAAAATGACCGTACAAAAAATTACCCCACAAATGTTCATAAAGTTTGAATTTTTTGGATGATGACAAATAATATTTACAATGTAAAATAGAATTGAAGTAATTTGAAAGTAACTACATGTTTCTAATTTTTATTTTTCATTTTTGATAGAATTTTTTTATTAATATTATAACTTAAATTATATTTTTAATTTATTGGATTGATGTATAAAATACTTGTGCAACACATGAAGAATTTTACTTATTTAATGTTGAAATAATATATACATAACTATAATTATAATTATATATAGTTATTGAATTTTAAGTTATTTTATGAAGTTATTTAAATATCGTGTTATAAATTGTATTGCAGAATATTGCAAAATTTGGTTGCAATATCCAAAAAACTTGATATTGAATTGAAATTAGTTGAGTATAATTTGTATTAGTTTAGTACTTAATACTACTATAAAATAAAAAAAATTACAAAATATATATATATATATATATATATATATATATATATATTGATTTATTTTATAAAAATATAATTTTACAATTGTTGATAATAAGTAATTTAAAGCATAACTACTTTATATGGTGTTGGTTCAAAGAACTATCAACAATTGTATATTTTGTATGCTTTGTGCAAGAGAAATATGAAGATTGTATATTATAATGTTTTACAACTATTAAACCTATATTCTCTTTAAATTAGAAAATAGTCATTAATTTGTGATTAAAATTTTACATCAATTTTTTATTTTTTATTTTTTGATCATACACATGCCAAATATATCTGTCTAATAAAATGGAATAAGATACAAAGAAAAACAATGGATCTTTGGAGAAGAGTACAAAGGCAAGTATTATTAGCAATAGTATTAAACGTTTAGTTACAACTCAGACTTAGTATGTAAAAATCCTGTCTCTACTTATAAATTTTATTAATCCAAAAAATAATAGGCTGTTTGAAGCAAAATTTATACAACTTGTTTGAGACCTTTGTTTGAGACCTATAATAGAAGACAAAAAGATTCCTATAATTGACATAAGTGCTAGCTATGGAAGGATGCTAAAGCTCTATCTCACCATTACATATTATATAAATATCTTTTAAGTAAATGCAAAGGCTTTCTAAAGTGAGATAGAAGTTTAAGGGTTGTCTTGGATGCAAACACTGTAAAATTTTAAAAATATAATATTTAACTCTATTTTTAATAATTCCATGTATTTTATAAAGTTATTCATGTAAAATGAAATTTAGAAAATAGTTGAAATGTTTTCAATAATTATAACAAATACATTTTCTACTATTTCAAATTGTCTATATTCTTTTTTTTTTCTCTCTTTTTCTGTTTATTTTAAAAAAAAAAGATACGTTTTATAAAAACATATATTTTTTAAATACATATGCTATTTAAAGATATTATTAAAATGTATATTATTTAATACTAGAATTTAAATTATGATCTTATAATTAAAAGAAATAGTGTTTATTCAATTACAAATCTTAAATGTACTAAAATTTCTGTTTTAATTAGTTTAAAAGATGTTATATATGAATTCAAAGAAAATCTCATATAAAATAAATTAAAAATTCAATATCTATTATTTAATATTAAAAATTATTTATGTTATCTTTAAGTATTATTATTCCAAAAATAATAAAAAAGCTTCTAATACTTACATATCAGAATTTCATTCCATCAATTATACACTTCATTCAGAAACACTATATGAAATCAATGAATATAATGTATATAATATTAGTAATTAGAAATTAAAACAGCAACTAATTAAATAAGATATTTCACATGAGGCTTGCCAGACAATAGACCAAGTATTGTCAATAAATAAACAACTGTTGAAGACATCAATTTTATCAAAATTGAACATGGAAGTATTAAAATAGATAATTTATATCAATTTTTAGCCATATATAGAGAAAAATCTCCAAATGTAGATAGCTCTTATCTCTTCAAATTTCCAACAGTCACGCTCAAAAATATTAAAAAATATTAATAGAATAGAAATTTTAATTCAAATTTTTGTTAAAAATAAATAAAAATAAAAAATAAAAAAATCACAATGGTAGCATAAGAATTAAATACAACACATTGATACAATAAATTATTTTCAAAAACAGTTAACCACCAAGAAGTAAAAGGATTACGAGATGCAAGCCATGGAAAAACAAGTCAAATAAACTAGATATTCATATTTTCTTGAATGTGAAATCTACTACACATTTTAATCACTGAAATCAAGATAGATTTTTTTTTAAAATGGATCATTGAATCTTGAAATTGAGCTATATAATAATAAGCACATTATAAGCATTTCTAACAAGAGTCATAAAAAATATATTTATTTGTTTTTGAGAAGAATAATTGACATAATTGACCCTTCACTACTAGAATTTATCATTGCCTCATTTTTGTAGAAACTTTTTTGTTTATTTATTGCAAAGATGTGTAAATTCTAATGAAACAATGTTTTTTGATAAACAAAAAAATCATAAAATTAAACAGAATTCAATATAAGTTCAGAATGGAGATTTTTTAAAACCTTTTTTTTATTAATATTAATTTTTTAATAATAATTTAATTATATAATTTAAATTTTTATTAATTAATCTATTTTAAAAATAATTATGTTAAAAAAGAAAATTTATGATACTTTAACTAAAAAAGAACAATAGTTTTTAATTTTGGTATAGATTTTTAATATAATATTCTTTTTTAGTACTTTTTAATATTTAAGAACATGTAAAAATTACAAAAGCATATGATGGTTTTTACAACTATTAATTAGGGAGAAGTTTTAGCACTTTAATTTGATTTTTAAATATGTCATATATATGGTAGATTTATTAAACGTTTATATATATATATATATATATATATATCAAGTTTCGAGTTTAGATATACTAAAAATCAGTTCTTTGTAATAAATAAAGTAACCGTTTCTCAAATATAATATAATATTATTTAATCTTTTTTAATTATAAATATAAAAAAAATCTTCAAACATGTAGTGGCAGTTTGTGCCTATTCAAAGTAAAAGCTTATTAAAAAAATTATCATCTACATGTAAGTAATAATATAATGTAAATAATAAAAAACAGTCATTAAATTTACTTAATACACTTTTAGCAAATAATTTAAATCAAAAATATTTTAAAATTCTAAATTTCTTATATTTGCTTAGATATGTATATTTATTTATTTTAATTTTAATTTTTTCATAATATTTCATACATGTCATGCTTTTATATTTAGACATATGATAAATTATTTAATCAAAGGTTGAATTGATTATGATTGATAAATATTATATTGAAAACATGAGTTATTTTTATAAGATAACCTAGTAAAATATTGACATCTTGTTACGAAGTGCTATCTTACAAAATTTCAAGTCTTATTACTTTTTTTTTTACTGTAATATCCCAGTTTGATTTTGATATCACCAATTACTTACTTGCTTGAGAATGTTTTTAATGTTATCCTATTTTAATACCCTATTGGTATCAAAATATAAAACAACTATATATTAGCCAAATACATTTTTGTAGTTGTGATGGGGCTGAATCAGTGTAGTAAAAAGTATTGTACATTATATTTGTTGTCACATGAGGCTCGTCCTTCTAAAATTGCCTCTCTCTACACTTAAATAATAATAATTATAATCATCTGTTTTATACATTTATATTAATTCCAAAAATATTAGTTAGACAAGATTTACATATCTTCCAAATTTAGTAATGTACCTCCAATTTGGAAGAGGCATTAAACTATCACAATGCAAATAGATTGAATGTCATGGCATGCCATGCATAAATAAACATATTCAATATGACATAAAAACCAGTTTGTGTTGGGAACGTGTGCCCAAAGTTATGTTCCCATGCTGTTGGTTGTTCCCATTTTGTCAAAGGGAAGCTGCATTTAGTGGCCTTGCCCCTTAAAAAAAAGGACTTGGGGAGGGGGTTTGTTCCAAGTCAGATGAGGTCCCTCTCTCTCTGGGAGATAAAACCATCTCAAACCCACATATAATGCAAGGGAACAAAAATGAGCACTTCATGGGAACATGGACTTTGAGACTGCCTGCCTTTCCTTTGACTATGTGGGGAACCTTTGGGAACAGGTTTGACCTAATCCTCGGCACTGGTCAACTTGTGGATGTCAAGCAACAAAATCTGGTGCCCAAAAGCATACATGGTGCTAATTATTCACTTAAAATGCTCCAGCGCTGAAGCATACACATTAAAAGAATAAATAAATAAACTTACCTAACAATTATGAGGAGTTTTAGGGTTTGACATTCTCCAAAAAAAGGAAAAATAAATAGATAAAATTAAATTAAATAAAAAGATAACTAATACTGCAAACTGATTCTCAAGATATACAAATTATTGACAGAAGTTTAATGCTTGGGCACACATTCTTGTAATGAATAATGGAGACCATATCAAAGACATGGGTTTGTGATTCAAATGTGCTATCATGGTA